CTGAAGTAACTAACATTTGGAGTTTTATTTTCAAGTCTTTCTTTTGGCTAGAATAATTGTGTATTTAAGAACACATTTCTGCATAAATGGTTGGTCTCCATCTCCTTATTAGGATCTTAGCAACAATGATGTTTTTTTGAAAATCATTTATTATTCTGGTCTTTTGCAAATTTTGAACAGAAAAGTAATAAAATAGATTTTTTTTCAAGTTTTATATCCTTTGCCTCATTTACTGAGGATATAACTTTATTTTTCATTTCATTTCTTACTGAGTAACCTTTTGAGAACATAATCAGCCATCATTACTCAATAAAAATCTGAGCTAAAGGTAAATGGTCAGTCTTCTAATTGTTTATATTCTCCATTTACATATTTAAATATTATTTAATTTCCACATTTCAGTCCTTCATTTGTTACTTCTTTAGAAGTTCATTCTCACTTAGTAAGGATTGATTGAATTACTGTCACCTGGAATACTCTTTTAATTGCCTTCAGTTATTCAAAGACAAATCTATGTTAATTTAAAAAACCTAAATGATATTACAATTAGATTCCCTCTTTTTAAACTTAATAAATTTTTCATACAGAAGTTTGCATTTAGTATAGATTTAAAGGTACATAGTCAGGCAGTCTGTACTCTTTTGCAGGTTGATTTTTTTCATTAAATACACCGATTGTGAGATTTGTCCTACTTTTCACTATTGAAATCAGGTCTGAAATGAATATGTGTGTGAGTCCTGAGGCCCAGAGGAGTGGGATTGCTGAGCTGCAGGATGTGCACCTGGTCAGCTAGGGTTGGTGTTGTGTAGTCTTCGTATTCATGAATCACAGCATGTGAGTTCCCATTTCACCGTGTCTTACAGCCACTTACTATGTGTTCTCAAACTCTGCTGTGTAGACTGGCCTCTGTGGTGTTCTCCCTTCCACTCCTCTGATAGTGATTGGAGTTGAGTTATTTTCCTGTGTGTATTGGCCGTCTTTGGGATCGTCCTGCTCATATCCTTTGTCTCGTCTTTGGCCTCATTTGTTGTCTTCTCACTGATCTGTTTCAATGTGTCTGTACAGCTGCAGGGATCGTAGAACTCCTTCCTAAGCCAGGGCTTTTCTTCTTACTTTCTTTATGGGGACTCTTGTGATGCAAATGGATTTTTCGTTTTCATAAAGTCACATTTATTGGGAGAGTTGATCCTCCATATCTGCAAATTCTGCATTTGTGCTGAACATGTGAGACATTTTTCTTGTCTTTACTCCCAAAACAATGGTGTATTGCAGTTACTTAGACAGCACTTACCTTGTGTCAGCTATTGTAAGTCATCTAGAGATGACTTAAAGCAGTAGAAGATGGAGGTTTTATGTGTAACACTATGCTGTTTTATACCTGGGACTTGAACCTGAGTGGATTTTGGAGTCTTCCTGGAGTCCCATAACCAGTACCCTGCAGAAAGTACCAAGTGACCGTATTGTGGTTTGGAAATGGTTTAGTGTGAATCCAGGGTAGAAACAGTCCTAAGAGGGGTGATGTTGAGAGGCGGTAGAATCATTAAGAGATGGAGCTAGTAGCGTATAATCAGGTCCTTCGGGGTACTGTCCAAGGAAGCGACTGAAGCAGCTCCTGCAGGACCCTACTTAAATTCCCAAGAGAGCAAGTTGTTAGAAAAAGAGCAAGCCTGGCCCTTAATCACTCTGGCTCACTGCATGCATTCTTGCCACTGTCGTGTCCTCACCAGAGGCCAAACGGATGGGGCCACCAACCTTAGCCTCAGCCTCCAAAACTGTGAGCTACATAAACATCTTATCTTTTATATGACCCAAGCTCAGGTATTTTGTTATAGCAACAGAAAACAGACTGTTTTCCTTTTAGCTTGTAAAGGATTTTAAAAAATCCTTTCATTTTCTCTAATATGAGTTATTCTGTGTGTTCCTTTAAGTGTTTTTTTTTTTACCATTAGATCTTTAAGCCCCCTATCTTTTTTTAAAAAGTAGCCACTGATTTATTTTTTATTATCATTTTATTGTACTGGGGGTATATTGTGACATTTACAAAAGTTCTTGCAATATATCATAGGTCTCTTCTGATTTTTTATATAATAAAACAGATAGCTATTCGTACCTATCCCTCATATGTTTTTCCACATTGGTAATATTCTGTCAGTCACTTTCAACATTCCCTGATATTTCTATTCCTGTATTTCTTTAGCTCTGTGCTAAGTAAACTTGGAGATTTGTTGTGATTAACCGTATCTGCTCCATGCTTTCTTAAAAATTGCCTATTATTTTTGACCTTCTGCTTTCCATATGTGTTACAGAATCCATATGAGGAGGTTCTTGTAACTTTGGTATTTATTCAAAGAGCATAATTTTTGTTTCATTGGAATTGTAGACGAGTTTACAGAGAATAGAGTTCTCATGAGTGAGTATGTTTTACCTTCATTTACCTCCTCTAATACTCTTCCTTTGTTTATGAAGGTCTGAGTTTCTGACATATGTTATTTTCTTTCTCTTTGAAGAACAGCTTTTAACATTTCTTATAAGGCAGGTAGGTCTACTGGCAAAGAGATTCTTCAATTTTTTTTGGTGTGATAATTTCATTTGGTCCAGAATTCTAGTTTGGTGTTTTTTGTTTCTTTCAGTACTGTGAGTATTTCATATATCAGGTGAAATGAGCTGAGGTAGATAGACTGGTTGTGTGCAGTTATGTGGTTATCTAAGGCCAGGAGGTAGACTGTATTTACTGCTAGCATTGGCTGTAGATTTCAGAGGCTAATATTTCCTCTAGTGTCCTTGATTTTTGTTTCTCCTGTTGTCGTTGAGTTTCCTAGGAACTCCTTCCTAAACAAAATCCTTGCCTTGTAGCTTTCTCAGTTGTGTTTCTGTGTTATGTAGGGGCCCTGTACATGTTGTGGTAAGATATGGGGGCAGGGATAGTGTTCTCCAGTTCTTTGATTGGGTCTCACTCTTTTGGGAGCCTGTGTGCCTTTGCTGTGACTTTGCTAAGTGTTTCTCAGCCTTTTCTCGCCTAAAATGAGGCAGAAAGGCTGGTGGAGACTGGACTTGAGCACTCCTCTGACTCTGGTAGTGAACTTCTGATAAACCTCAATAGGTTTGCTGTAATACATAGTTTCCCTGAGTCCAGGCCATTGTTAAGGAGAAAAGAATGCTTTGGGCATGTTTCTGAAGGTTAATGTCTTCCTTTCCCTTCCAGAAGCTTCAGGGGGCTCTTATCTGATCTTCACCCAAAGAATTTGGTGGGGTTCTTGGAGGTAAAACTCCCAGAAGCCTGGGGACTCCCTAAACCTCTAGAGTTTGATCTCCAAAAGAAGCTGGTCCATGCTCAGTCCTCAACAGTCAGTTGCCCTTCCGGTTTTTGTTCAGTTGCTGGCCCCAGTGGAGCCTCTGCTCCTGGTAAGCTAGGGTTCTGTGTTTGCCTATCTCTCCAATTTTGGGAATTGTGGTTTGTCTAAGAAATGTTGTTGATTTTCAGTTCATTCATCTTTTTTCTTGTTGTGAGAGTTGTTGTGACAATTTGTTTCCCAAATGCTTGTCGAACTGGAATCCAGAAGTCCATCAGTGGCTTTAGTATTTGTGAATATCTATTTATGTGTATGTATATTCGTAAAGACCATGATATCATAGGTACCTTAGAATTTTATTGTTATTGTAAATGGTATTTTTTCCTAATTCTGCTTTTTTCTTTTTGAAACAGGGAGTCTCAGTCTATAACCTAGCCTGGTCTAGAACTTAATGATCTTCTTATCTCAGCCTCCCAAGTGCTTGGAGGCAGGCACTACCATGTCTGGCTCCAACTCTGTCATTCAGTGGCTGGGGATACACAGGAAACTTAACTTTTTTGTGTTTAATCTTGTCTGACAGTCTTGCTTTCTTGACCATGCATGTTTGTTGTTTTTCAAATGATGGACGTTTGCATCACATGTCAGTCTTGCTCCTCTTGATATACACTATTACGCCTTTACGATAGGTATTGGGCATTATGATCAGTGTTGGTAAGAGGATGCTCTTCTGCCCTTTGCATAGCATTTGCTTTTGATGTAACTGAAAGGTGCAGAACATCTTGGTGGAGCATGGTGCTTGGGGTGTGCAGCATCACTTTGTGAAAGAGTATCAATACAACATTCCTGGTTCTTAGGATCCTTGTGCAATATCTGAATAACAGTTGTATAAACGTACTATGTGAATTGGAGGCAGAACAGGTTAATGTTGACAGATGAGCCATCAAACTCCTTTGGAGAGCCTTACCTGTGCAAGGGCATCATCTCATTGGCTTAGATGGCATTTTGTCACTTGGCTGTATGTCTTCTGCCTTGATCAGTATATAGAGAACAAGCAGATAAACAATAAGAGTTTACCTTATTGTTACCAAAATGGTTCATCAAAATTAGGCTGGGGTAGTAATTGTCATTTCCTCATGGATATTTATAGAAAAAAATTGTTATTTTGGGTTAAGTTTCAAACCATATTTGAGTGTGCTTCTTCAGCTATCAATGAGAAGTTGTAGGAGTGGTTTGTGTGGTGTCTTTACATTTTTGAATCTATTTCTAAAAATAACTGGGATTCATTCATCATAGTTCTTTGATGTATTTGATAAAACAAGGGGATTATCTATTTTCCCTCAACATTTTGGTGGTTGTTTAACTGAGTAATGATCACCAGCTTCTGCATATTAATTTGATGGCTTAATGCCAACCTGTGCCAACAGATTGTGCATTATACAATAAAGTTCCTTTCATAATTGCTGAAGGTTCTGAGAAATTACTGCTTTGATTTTTATCATGTCACTTTGACCTGAGGGTTGTTTTCAGAGTTAAATGAGCTTTGTGGTTTATCACATATCAAGGAAAATTTAAATCCAGGGTAAATTTAGTTGCTAATTTCCTCCTCCTCTGATTAGTGACTGTGTCCATAGAGAAAGCATAGATAGTTGCTTGATACCAGCTTTACCTTTGTTAGATATTTGAACCCAGTCTTTGACATCTTCCTTTTAGGTCATTGATTATATCCTGCCACCCTTGGTCTCCTTGGTTCAAAGCCAAAATGGTAAGTGAGATTACATGAGGGGGATTTCTCTCCGTTATTACATGTTCTGCTTTTATTCTTCTTCCATGACCTTACATTTTTGGCATTTTTCCTTTTGTTTAAGTGGAGTGGAGGCTCTTCAGCTTGCGGCTGCTTTCAGAAACCACATCTTTGCTCGTGAACCAAGAGACTTGGGATGGGGAAGAGGTGAATGCAGACTCTGATAGCAATCTTCTGGCTCTTATTAGAGATGTCTTGCTTCCCCAGTAAGTACCAAGCTGCTCTGCTCATACGCAGGTGTCAGGGTCTCTGTGTCCCTATGTCAAGGAGAAGCAGAGGCAGCAACTGTTAAACTGCAGAGGACCCTTTGTCCATCTTCAAAGCCATCCACTTAGAGCTTCATCTGCTTTCTGTCAGGAACATGACATTGCTGATATGCAAATTTAAAGCTGGTCCTAATAAGACTACTGAACATGAAATTGAGACTTCTCCTGACACTACTCAGAAACAAGAGAGATAGAAGGAAGAGTTTATCACAAACTCTTTAGGGTTGGGGATGTTGGTGGAACAGGTCAGGAAAATTAACACAAAGGGATTATTTTTTTCCTTTTAGTCTGTTGCACACATAGCAAACACGCAGCAGGAGGACCCATGAGAGAATCCAGTACAAATATAGTAAAGTCTAAAATGGTATTTTAGTTCAGGGAACCCTGGCATTTTATTTAGTGGAGTAATTAAAGTTAAAAAAAATGCCATATATCACTATTAAAGAAATTGTTTTTGCAAAATTAAATATTAGATTGTGTATTTTGCATTAATATGCATGCCTGATATGGCTTCCTTCACAGCCTGGACTGCCATCTGTGTCAGTTTGCCAGGTTTTCAAGAACAGCAGCCTTAGGTGCCTAAGACTCCCCATTTGTTCAGCTTCCCAAGATCAGTTCTCATTAAAAAAGTGAATTATCACAACAAAGAAAGCACATGTAGTTGCATTCTGATTTTGGCTGATGTTACCTGATTGAACTGTCTCACATAAAATTACGTTCACACTTAAAAAATAAAAAAACCCCACACTAAAATTTCGAGTTGCTAGTGATGAAGCACTCAGCCACTCCTAGCTGGTTAGGGAAGGTGCGTTTTAACCAGTACGTGTGTGTCTCTTATGCTTTGGCCCTCTGACTGGGGTTGAGGGGTAGAGGAATGGAGGGTGGAGGTGGAGTGCTGGGGAGGGCAGCAGGCTGCCTAGAGCAGGCTCTGGAATGACTTCATTTACAGGGCCACCTTCTTGTTTCTTTCTTCCTTTCTTTCCTTCACAGTTGGTCTCAGGGAGACCCATGATAATAAATAAACAGTCAGGGTACTCTCCATATGCAAAGTAAGAAAAAAATGAAAAAAAATGTAAAATCATTGTTGGTGATAAACTATTAAATATATTTTCAGTTGCACTGTTACATGTGGGTGCTTCTATGGTCTGTACTTTTGTGGATTAAATAAAAGATTGCAACCTTTTCTAATGGGATTAATGGTTCCCATGCCACCTTACATTTATGAAACTTTTATTGCAGAATACGCATCTTTCTGGCAAGAAAGTACCTAAAACTGTGGGTTTTGCCCAGGATATGATTTTTTTAAAGGTGTACTTAGGATATTGCTGTCTGCAGACTTGGAGAGAAGGGTTTTTAGGACCTGAGGTGTCCCCACAATAGGGACAGGGTTTACGCCAACAGGACCTCACAGTTTAGTGGTAGAAATGAATGTCTTTATATCAGAAGATTGCCCAATTTTGGAACAGCTTATAATATAAAGGTGTTGGCTCTAATTCAATGTCGTTTGAGCTGAAATAAATAATACCTATTTCATTTAATGGGCATATTTTCCTTTTCTGGAGATAAGGATTAAATAGAAAAGTACAAATGTAAACCACCATGGCCATTCAGGACAGAAATCATATAGATGAGTTCAGGTTTTTTTTATTAACATCTCAATGTGCACTTCAAATAAAATGAAATTTATTAGGATGTGGCATGGGAGATGTCAAAGCTTGCTGACTGATTCTGACATGAAGCATTTCATTCTCTTAGCCTTAGTCTCCACATCCACAGGACAGCGTTGTTGTCCCTACCTCAGAAGATAATGGTGAGGATGAAGTAGAGTGCTTCTTGGAAAGCACATAATAGCGCAGCACATAGGACAGAGAACACTCTGACAGGTGTTAGTACCACTGCTCTTGTTGTTAAGCTCATTATCGGGTTCTCTCTTATTACTCCTTAGGAAGAAGATCATAATAGTATAATAATAGCAATGGTACATACTTCATAAACATGACATGACTCTTCACATAAAGAATGCTTACTGTGCCTTCCTGGTGTGTATAGTAAGGACTCACAATGTAATACAAATTTTTAAAAAATGAAATGGAAGTAAATGCATTAATTTAACATTCTTGACTTTGCAGAACTAGAACCTAAGAAGTTTGATCTTTGAAGATGACTCTCGATAATTATAAGATTAGAAATCTAATAATGGAAAATTCATATTCTCTATTGGGTATATAAATATTTTGGCTTAAGAATGATGAGGTTTCTAGAGTTCATAGCATCTACTTCATCAGGTAGACATATTGATGTGTACTTTTAATTTTGCTAAAAATTTTCATCCTCCTTTGACCTTAAATAACACTTTGGATAAAGCCAAGGTGTCAGTCTTTTCATGCACATGTATAGTAGACTCCCCAGTTTTCACATGAAAGTATTGTATTAGTCAAGATTACTTTATTTGCAACAGTAACACCCAATTAACTTATTAAGTACATATGCTCACGTAACCGAGAGATCAAAGCCTTGTCCTGGCATCAAATATAGTTGAATTCAGGGGTTTGATTTATGTCTACAGTACTCTGTGTAGTATCTTTCTCTCCATCTCTCCTAGATCCCTGTCTTTGACCTGTACCAAAATCAACTCAAAGTGGATCAAAGACCTTAATATAAGACCTGAAATTTTGAAACAACTCCAGAAAGTAGTAGTAAATACACTGGAACATACAGGTATAGGGAACGACTTCCTAAATAGAATTCAAAAGGCTCAGCATCTAAGAGAAAGAATGAACAAGTGGGACTGCATGAAACTAAAGGGCTTCTGCACAGCAAAGGAAACAGTCACGAGACTCAAGAGATAGCCCACAGAATGGGAGAAAATCTTTGCCAACTACTTATCTGATAAGGGACTAATATCTAGAATCTCTCCATCTCTACTCTGCTGAGACCTATGTGTATTTTTTTTTTTCAGATAGGCTTCTTGAACTTGATGATTAAATGGTTACTGTGGAAGAGGAGTGGAGAGATTCCTAGAGGACCTCATAGTACTGGCAAAATTCTCGGGGAAGACAATAATTAAATCTTTCCAGTGACCATGTATAATACCTGGTGCCTACCAGAACTGCTGAATGATATGAATGAAAGATCAGTTGTAAGCATAAACATTTGTATTAAGGTTCTCTTTATTGTATAAACAATAAAGAGATTTATTATAAAAATTGGTTCTTGTGGTTATGGTAGCTGAGAATTCCCAAGATCTACGGCTGGTAAGCTGGAGACCCAGGACAACATGGTGCATTCTCTGTTCCAGAGTTGACAGGCTTGGGACTGAGGAGGACCCAGTGTTTCAGTTCGAGGTCAAAGGCAGGGAAAGACCTATGTCCTAGCTTAAGGCTGTCCATAGGAGGAGTTCCCTTAGCCTCTGGATTTTGTTGGATTGTCAATTGATTGGATGAGGCCCACCCAAATTAGGGAGGGCAGTTGTTTTCCACTACCCATTCAAATATTAATGTCATCTAGAAGCACTCTATGGATACATGCAGAATAATGTTTGATCAAATAACAACCCATGGTCTAGTCAAGTTGGTGCAAGAAGTTAATCACCATATCCTCTATCATGAATATCATGAATGAGTTGCTTCCTATAGTAATGGATTAATATCAGGGAACCAATAACCCCTTCTTAGTGTGCATGTTTTACTTTCAAAAGAGATGAACTTTAGTGGTGTTTGTTTAGTGCCTAATACATTTGGATTATAATACCATTTATAGAGAGATGGTAATGAGACTTTGAAAGCTAAGCATGTCTGGAAGAAAAGAACTGAGCATCCCAGGCAAGAATTGTGGTATGAAGGAGTAAGGGAGAGGTGGAGCTTGGGCACTGATAGGCCAGCTCGTTTCCAGCTTGTTTACTTTTCTTATACTAAATGCATCCTATCTCAGACAATTCTGAGGGAATATGAATGACCAAAGTAGGCATAGTCTTTGCCTTTGTGGAACTTAATCTTTGACAGACAAAAATTTCAGGCATTTGAACTGAAGAAGTTTTTAACTCATGCAAGTAAAAATGTTTTCTGAAGTATTAAATATTAAAATCACCTTAAACTGTGGCCCTGCATGGTGTTAATAAATCCAGAGGAAACATATTCTTATTGAAACTGGGCTTTGCTTTGGAGTTTGAGTGGTTCACCCATTTCTCTTTATAAAGCACAGGGTTTCTTCATGTTCTATGACCTTAGGATACTATTTCCCAGAACCTCCCTATTAATCTCTCTCTCTCTCTCTCTCTCTCTCTCTCTCTGATCTCTAGGTCTTCCATTACAATTTTGGAAACATTGCTTAATAAAGATCAGGAATAAGTAAAGGATACTCACAATCAAAACTTTTATAAGTTATATAACCCGAGTCCTTGGCCAAAGACCCAACGTTAGGGGTTCCAACATGTCAGGTCCTGACCATCACCCCAATATGCCAAATAAAGAGTTGAGTAATAGTGGAGGATAGAGAAAGGACATTTATTAACATGCTTGCCTGAGTGTCAGAAGAGGGAGAGCAAGGATTTCAGCCTGTCTTTGGAGTACACCAATGAGCTTTAGGTTGAAATAGTGGAAGAACTGGGGAAGAGGGTGAGAAATATTTATAGCTAAATAGTCTTGGTCAGAGTTGTAGTCTGGTTGATTGTTAGTTAGGTCAGGAGTGGTCAGGCAGGGCCTTGTCATATCAAGAAAACTGTGTGTTTGTGAGGGCAGAGGAAGCAGTCCATTCTTGTCACAAGATGTTCATCCAGTAGTGCTGTCATCCTTGGAATCCAAGGTGACTATAAGGTGACTTCAGGAGGGAATGGCTCAAAACAAAGAAGACAGATGCAAAATGGAGGTAGAGATGCCAAGTTTCTGTTCTGCTTTGAGGTGCCCATCGGACATCTCTAGGCCCAAGTGAAGTTTTGCTAACTG